CTTGATTTGCGCGCAACCCTGCTATTTAGCCAACTATCTAAGTATTCGGCAAGTGTCACATGACTTACCGAATCTCTCCGGCCATCAAAGGATTGAACGCATAGAGCCAGTCATGGACATCAGTGCCATCCTCGGAACACGTCTGAATGAGCAGAGTGTGGTGCTGTGCAATCAGAGTGAACATATTGAATCGACATGAGACGAGCGAAGTAGGCGAGCCAACTGGTTCTCCGTTCTTTGAGGTCACAGCCACTTTAGATGCGTTTCGAGAATGACTGATTTGGTTCAACAGTTCCGCTTCGGATGCGTACGCGAGATTGATACTGATAATGGGAAAACATGGAAATTACGTTTTCCTTTGGAAGTGCAATTGAATCATTTTAACAGACCACAAACAACCCCCCCTTTTTCGGGGAAATGTGTGCAGTCGAAAACACCGTCTGGATAATGCATGGATTTTTTGCGTACAACCAGCTATTGTGGATCAATTTTAATATGAGCACTTTTAATTGAAATAAGTGTGCCTTTTTTCCAAGTTGATAATAGTCGGTTTTATGCACCGGAGGAATTTTTTATTTGCAATTTACTCGTAACAAAGAAATAATTTCCGGTTCATATGTTAGGAGCAGCACCGCCGGAATATCCGGCAGTAATTATGAGATTCAAGATCTCACTGCTTTGAGTAGTGGGACGATAACCCAGAAGTCTGAATTCTTTCCGTCCATGTTCACCCTGAAAACTTACTGGGCTTCGTAAATTTGTTTATTGTTAATGTGGAAAATATGCAAAAGCCAGGCTCTTCAGGCGATTTCGACGTGTCTATTCCACTATAGACGAGTGATACCTTAATCGGTAATGTGTGAGAAGTTTTTCTGACAAATAACAAAGCTGTTCATAAATGAGCTGTTGTTGTCGTGATGAGATCCTCATTAATCAGATGTCTCTCAATGGTTAATCCTTTTGTTTACTTAAAGGAGGCGAAACATTTCTCTGGAAATACATACTGCTTTCTGACTGGTTTCGGGTCATAATTTCGTCTGCGACGCGTTTTTCCAGAAAAAAAATTAAATTTCGGCTGCATCTGTATTCCATATTTTATTTAGAATATCGCTTGATGATCACGGTGGAAAGTAATAGATGCTAAATGTACTCATAATCACTGAGCTTTCCCAGTTACGTATAACATCAAAGCCCATAAGAGGGACTTTCAATTACAAATGGACTAACTACTTCCAGTTGACATGGGAAACCGAACTCGATCACGCAGTTTTTCAATGAGTTCGGCAACTACGGTTTAATCAAGTAGTCTGTTTTTCGAATTATCATTCCCTAACAAAGTTTATAATCTTTATGCAGCATTGCAAAAGCGGATCTTTTTAAGTTATGATTCATTTCCGTGAAATAGTCCGCATCCGTTGGATATGTAACGAAACCGTTTAAGATGTAGATTGTTCAATGTGACTTTACTGGTTGTTCCCTTCATAATTCTAATTTATTTATTCAAAAGGGAAATGGTCAATAAAAGTGGCTAATGTAACATTGTCACATAGCTGATACAAATCAATCCCCCTGAGATGAATACCACTCATTTGTCGTGTATTGGGGTTGACAATTGCGGTTTGATAAACCGCAACCTGTGGCACGCGTGAGCTGATTGTGTATACAATAACTCCTTTAGATTATCAACTCAGAAAATTGTTAATTTCCAACGATATCCTGATTTGCTTGGAGGATAAGAGCTTACTTAAGTAATTTTGCAGATTTCATGCTAGCGACATGCTAGCACAGCTCAATTACCCGAAATTCTGCGGCAAATTGGTGGGTTTGTTCTTTATTATATGACCAGCTTGCAAAATATCTTGGAAAGCGAATAAGCGATCACTACAGTTGGTGCTCCTTGTCCAGTGTGGGCTCACCCGGATTCAAATTCAGACGTTGTAGAGTAATAAATGGATCTGGTAAGCGATTCCAAAATGACCACGTGTGCATATGCGGGAATTTGCATCCACCTGCAGATCGACGTTTGATGACTTTGATATGTGCGTAATACCATCCTCTGTGATTAATTAATTAGCTCGCATAATAAACGCGGTAGAAAGCAAACACATATGGAAAGGGTCAGTAAAATTTACACCTGTGTTTCCTATAAATGTTATAAAACTGGCAACATGAGGGGACCTTACTCGTATTCTAAATGGGCTGTGTTCAAGTTGATCAGTCCCCGTTCAACCAGATCTTTCTCGTCCGCGTACAAATAGAGGAATGGACGACGCACCACTGCCCACCGACGGACCCAGCCGGCTGTTTTTTCTTCCAGAATCAGAAGATATCCTTTTCGGCTTATAACCGGACTGACACGTACCTAAACGGGGAACAATGCAGAATACAGATTGGTGAGAATCACCCTATGGGAAACACACTCAAATGCAGGGTTACATTGAAAACGACACGAACAATGTTCCCTATTAGGTTTAAGAAGTCAACAGAACGGGGTTTATGAAACTTTACGCTGCTGCACAGAGAAGTTGTGTGGTGAGTGGATGGAGTCCTTGGTGTGTTTATTTGGTTTTCGTAATGCACTTAATCAAAACATTTCGAGTACAGTACAATTTCATCTTGGTTTTCCGACACCCACTTCCTTTGTGCTCCAATAGCGGTTTGCAAAATCTCTTCTCTTACAACCGTCAATTATTTCACCCGATTTTAAATACTTCAGACCTGTCTCATTTACGAAGCACCAAGGACAACGACCACTTGTTGATTGCTCATCCCTCGGTGAAACGTTTCGTAAGCACAACCGTTTATTGTCTTATACCTCAGAAGGGTTAACACTGGATGATTTCATTCCGTTTTGTTGCGTCACGTGTCTATTTTCTTGTGATCAACTGCGCTGTTTCGGGCCAAGGAAACTGAATATCACAGTGTGTAACTGAGTTCCTCAATGGACGCAGTGCGCGAAATGCCCATCCTAATGGTGATCCTCTAACTCGTCTGAAGGTGTAGAACGTAAACAGTTTAAACAAGTAGTTTGAGGATGACCAGGCTGCATTTCCCAGATACTCGTGTTAGGCCGGTTTTGTGGTCTTTACAGATCTTTGGGTACGATTATCCGGTTATCCTTTATCAAACCATTCTGACATTTTCACTCAATGTGAATTGAGCAACCTAAATCTCAATTGTCTCTCAGAGATTTTCTTTTCGGGACACACTAAGTCTGACGACCCACTGTCAAATTTCGCTAGTTAGATGCCTCTAACTTGACCGAAGACTGGATGCTTCTTGTAAATCTTGTCTAAACAGCCATTTTCTGACTATTCGAAAATTAAAATATTTTGCCCTTATAACGAGTTAAGTTAGTTGTATCTATCCCATGGAGTTAAAAATACCCTCGTTGTTGTTGTTGACCTGTGTCCAACTAACTAGTTTTAAGGTTAATTTGATGTACGTCGCGTAAGATTACAAGTATAAAGTGTACGTGTGGATGAAACCCCCCTAAGCAGCAATGAAGAAGCGGAATGAACACCAGTAGATTACTCTACAGAGTCGCTTTGTTCATACAAAGCTGTCTCGATTTATTTTAAATTTATGCGTTCCTTCCTCAAGCAAATGTGAATCAGGTGGCACCAAACGGACTCACTGACACGTTGTATACCAACTTTTGGATGTCTTGAAATAACCATGTCCGTTAATTTTTTATAATAATTCAGTCTACTCGTCAAGTAAATTCAAAGTGATTTACGGCGTTTCAAATTATTGAGATCCCAGCGTACTATGTTCGACAACTGTTGAACAGGTTTAATGTCGCCAAACCTTTCCATCACCAAAACCAGAATCGACACAACTAGGATAGAAGTTTCTGATGCACGCGTTTCATCACGCCATATTTGAATGTCTTTAGGAAACCGAAGCAAAGTAGGTGCGGACTAAAGGAACGCCTGAGAATTACCGTTTGTCCACTACGGGCGTATTATCCGCAAACTTCTGCAATTATGCATTATCTGTAACGTAACCGAATGTTGTTGATGACAGCTTTTGTTGATGACCTCAAATTGCTCGGGTCAGGACGATTCTTACAGGTAAATTTAGATTTTACAGAAAGATCTCCTGTTAGGCCAAAATTACCGCATCAGTGCCTACCTCTTCTGGTTGTTCATGATCCTTTATTCAAAGAATTAAAGACCATGCATTCCCGACTAGTCGTATAGGTTATTGTTTATCCATCCGAGTGCACCTACAACTGTGTTCTATTGGCTCTTTGAATGGAGCAGTCTAGGACAACTGCATTGAAATTTTATTGTAAAAAACATTCATCTGTTTCTACACCAGTCAGCCAAAAATCCCCAACTAGATCACTTGACTGAGCTTGTCGATGGAGTTCTGACTCAATACGACTCTTCTAAAGTGAGAAATCTCCACATGTTTTTTTCAGTGTGAAAACTGTGCATTTTCGCTCAAAAGCAACCTTAACGAAACAAAACATAAACCAGACATGAGCAATTCATTGCTTTTGTTGGATTACGACAATAATACCCGTAGAACAGCGTGCGAGTGAGATTGGCTGACTCTGACGTAACACTTCCTGTTACGTAATCATGTTCTCCGGTGTATTTCCGATTCCAAAGCCCCTTGTCACCTCACTGAGGGTATTGAAACCGTTATATATCAGATTTTGTCAGTCATCAGCATGAGTTTGGCCTGGTTTTGTACGAATGAAAATGTTCCATTTGTAAACAAATGGGGTAAAGCTATCTAGTCATCTGTTCAACCCCACTGCAACAGTGCAGTAAACAAGATGAAACAGGGATCCGAACACTTACTTCATCACATTCACCTATCAGTCTTTGTACCACGTGTTTCGGATGCAGAGCCGGATTGTCCGTGTGTAAATGACTTCTTAGTGATTCCATTGTGGCTGATCGTGGAATTCCCGTGACTAAAAGGAATCAAGCCGAAGTTGAAATATAAAATAAAACAAAAATCTGTTGTTTTGCTGATAGGTGGTTTATTTGACAACCACAGATGAACTGAGCAAAATGGTACGTCTTATATATTTGGTATTAGGCACGTTATTTATGCGTGGACCATCCCTACATGCGAGATATTTGGTTAACTTTCTATTCTAATGCTGCTCTGCTCGGGTTCACAAATATTTGGAACAAGACAAACCGTTTCTTTCTTCACATTTTATGATAAAATGAAAAACTATGAGTCGTTCTGTTACGGTGGTCTTCTTTGATCACATACCAACAGGAACTATTTGATAAACTTGCTATTGCCGTCTATGGCAGTTATAAGAACAAACTGGCATGTTTTCGGCAGTCAGAAGAGATGTAAACATTCCGTGATGAGACTAGGAGTATAACGATTTGTGGCTGTCTGGATGACAGTGCATTGGACCATGCGTCAGTCTTGTTATCTTGGGCATACATGAGGCAATTTGCTAATCAGCTCGGCAGTGTGAGAATGGCAAAAGAATGTAAAATGCAACACATCTCAGACATCACAAATAAACGCCTTTTATGTTCACATCAATTCACACTCATAGGAGGGTTTGATTTCTGTCAATTTGAAGTCTTCTATCATACACTTGTTCCATAATCAGAAGGGCGAACGTCCAGATCTGTTGTCTACGGTAACTAAGGGTACCGTGGAATAAGCTTTCTGAATTTCTCCATTTTTCCGTTTTCGTTATTAGACCCACCATGTCTCTATTTTCTTCCCTGATATGTTATTGTAAGATTTTTTTCAATAAGAATTTTTTAAAAATGTGAACCGTCCCATGTAGGAAACTTCTTCTTATGCGGCGTTAAGCCATTTTATCGTCATTCAACACCTTGGAATTGATGATTATCTATGCGATACAATTTCTGGTTGACGCTTCAAGTTCTCAGCACTCGACTCACCCGCTCTAATTCCATTTCTGTTACTTCCCCCCCTCTAATAATTAAAACATTTCATGTAATTTCAGCGGAAACCCGCTGTCGGTTTGCAAGGATTCTAGTAAAGACTAGGAACTGCAGAATTTCTGTAAAGGGTAAAAATTGATATGCGAACGCGTTGATGTAAGAGAGCGGCGTTTAGATAGATCGCCAAGTAAATGGTGAACAATTTCAAAAAGAACAATAAGAAATAAAGGGTAAAACTCACTGATAAACAAAAACTCAATTAGTTTTCTCTGAACTGTCTGAATGTTCGAAGTTAAAAAGATAAACAATGTTTTTTCAACCTATCGTGGATATGGGATGTCCACTTTCACTTTCTGTCAATTGTAACTCAAAATTATTTCACAGAATCTGCTCTAGTCAGAGATCCTGTGTTTGGGATCGAAGGATCAATGGGATAAACAGAACAGAGCGGGTGAAAGTACATTCGAAACACTCAGATAAATTGATAATCAGTCCAGGTTGAACAGAACATTCGTGAATAAAGGACAGATTTATGGAGATCACTGATAAAGGTGAAAAACGAGAATGAAAATCAACCACTCCCTGGAGCACTCTCGAATTATTCACGGGTGATTTTGACGTTTTTGTACCCAATAGGTTGTGTTAACTTCTGTTTTCGAAGCAGTAAACCAGTCACGCTATCAGGTCCTTGGGGCAGCTAAATAAGGCAAACCCAACGAGGAAAACGGTCAGAATGAGGAAAATACAACTTACGGATTTTGCGGATGCTTCTAGGGATTTGTTAACACAATGGACTAAGAACGCGACGGTGTCTTATGTGGACCTGTTTGTTGCATATCCAAACTGAAACTGTGTTACAGGGCACTGTAAGAAGCAGTCAAATGTTTGAGAATGATACGTTTTGCCAATTTAAGACCACATAACTTTAGATCAATTGAAGGGAAACGTTTGTTGAGAGTGCTGAATTCGCACGACTTGGGAACAGGTTTAAGGTTAACAGTCATCAGTAATGAGATACGCATACTTGCAAAAGGATGTTTTGAGCACAGTAATAAGGGCGTCCATTAACACAAGACCATCATACTTTAGATAAAACGAATATGGACTGACACGAATGACACCAGAAGCCAATCTAGGTTTACGAAGGAGTTTGAATACTCCTCTCCGTTTGCAGTAGTCGCATATCCCGGAACTCTTAAGACAGGGAAATCTTTGATTAGATGTATAAATGCGTGGTTTGTACTTTTAACATCTACACCACAGATAGTTGGGTTGGATTCCGCTTCAGGTCAAATCTGACTTCCTTGCCACAGATGTATCTTGTTTTCATGGAACATTCATCCGGTGTTCTTGTACCACAAGTTGAACAAATATTGTCTTCTTTCTCACAGTTAATTCAACTTATTTTAGAAATGCTTAATCTTTTTGGATGCAATTTTCATTGCTGACTTGACTTGACCCATGTACTAAATTTTATATACATTACCTGAGAAACAACAAAAGGCAAACAGTGCAGGTTTACACTCAAATAATTCTCCTCAGTTACTGCATCACCACTGTGGTGGCTACAAGATTTGAAAACAATTCCTTCGGGGCTCTAAGTTCTTAACCTCCACGAATTTATCCCTGTCCCACTTACAAAGCTTTGAGTTGCGATGAAACGTTTGCTATTCCTCACAAGGTAGATGCTGTTCTTGGTGATAACAGAGCACTAAAGGAGTGATTTCACAACCCAATAAGCGTATGCTTTGAGGGACTCGAACAGAAACCAGTTCATGCTGTTTTACTTATAAAGTAAAATATCCTTTGATTGATAATACTAAATTATGGCATGAAACATTTTTTCTGTCCCCTCTGCGAAAGGCATACAGGCGAAACAGCTTGACATGTTCTGGCACAGAACAGTCAATCTGGAGTAAATCATAGTCGCAATCTCGTGATTCACACGCTCAAAACGAATCACCGTCGCCCTACAGACTCAATCACTGGCGGCAGTATTACATATGTCAAACTTCTATCTGAATGTTGACTACCACTTTCAGCCAAATACATACTGAAGCAAAAACAGTTTGCATTGCAATTATTAACTCCAATGATGAAATTTTACTTCCTCAGTTTCAACCCCTAATAGAATATCACATGATGAATCGGAAGTTAAACTCACTCAACCCTGTATATCTTGATTATTCCTTTTGTCCAAAGGAACTCTAGCAGTGCTATTCAACCTTTTTTATTCGTCACCCATCTTTTTTACATCCAAGGACATCTAACAAACCACTTTGATCAAAATTTTCATTTTCCTCTTCTACAACCATACCAACACGCTTCTCCGGTCAAACCAATGTACTTTTACGAAACCCGCACAACTCCGACACCCTAACCACAATATGGATACATCTCAAAGGAAGACACAAACAATGAATTCCCAATCGAGGCTAAGCTTTGCGTGTCTGTTTACCCAGTCACATTTCCCGTCCTGGGTTTTCTGTTGAATGAAACCGTATAAATGAAATAAAAGGATTCGGATTTTCCGCCCGTTTTTTATTATTCATATTTCAGTGAAAAAATGAAACTACGTTGAGTAGAACAAACGGGAAGAATGACGTGATACGCTTATATTCGATTCTCATGGACGAGCTAACTATAACCAATGCAAATTATTGTCAGTGAAACTGTCATTGAATGATCTCAAAATTATAAACGTATGGGTACACACGTGTAACCGAAACAAAATATTCGAAATCAAAACTGGCCAACTGAATTTGTTTGTTTGATTTTATTAAAATTAGCTGCTAGTTTGTTTTAAAAAGCCGGCAAAAGGCCCGCTGGACAGACCAACTACCATCGGCAGTCGCCGAAGGCAGAATGTGAATCAGGTTTCTGCAGTAGCGTTGTCAATATTTTTTCATTAATCACAAGTGGCCCATGGATGAAACGGGTCTCACTGAAAAGCTTGGGCGTCGCGCGCATGATTATTGAGGAAATTAGCTTGTGAGATCAACCGATTAAGTGACTTGAGAAAGGCCATCCACGAGAGTCAAAACGTTGTCATCAACACCTTATATTTCGATTTCTTCGTTTGTCGTGGCTAAGACAGGCTAGTTTCCTCAGTTTTTCAACGAATTCAAGTTTATATTTTGCATAAATTACAAGGCTGCTGCTTATTTGATACCAGTGGATTCGGTATGTGGTACAATTGAATAGAAAATAATAACGATCACTCAGTGATGCTCTACATTTAGGTATTTCAATGCTTCATCTAGCCGGGACTTGAACGAATCGATGATTGGAGCAAAAACAAATTGATAACAGAAGACAGTTTCAGGTATTACATAATCTGCGGTCTATATAGTGACGCTTGCAGTTTAGCCAATACTTTTGAAGCAAACGTTTTAGGGGGTCTTCTGAGGTGATCATTCCCGGCCTGTCTCAGTAGAGTACGAAAGGAGTGTTTACAATGATCCATTATTTCATATAAAAGACTCGTGTTTTCCCAAGTGAAGTGCTGTTAAGATGAGTTGAGTCATAGGATTTGCAACTTTGTATTGTGATAGTAAACGTGACAATAAGTCTCCTTCAAACAAACCAAAACCCCCTTGTGTAATCCAAGTTGTTTGAGGACCATGGATGCTGTTTCAACACAATGTGCAGAACATCATAGATCCGCCTGAACAATCACTCCCAGATCCTTATTGTTTGTAGAACGTATTAATGACTGATTTCCTGATTCGAATGGAAGGCGATTCCTGTGACACAACGATAAAACCTCACATTTTCAAACATCGAATTCGATGTCATTAGTGACAAACCCTCGGTGAAATTCGTCTAGAGTTTCCTGTAGGTTTTTACAATCTTCAGTAGGTTGTACCATTCTCTATTTTTTGGCGTCGGGAATGAATAATAATACCCGCTCTCCACGGACATCCGGTAGGTTGTTTATACGTGTTAGAAAAGGTGGGGACCAAGTACGGATTCTTGTTGAACTCCACGGACAGCTTCAATTGGTCCCAGTAGAGAAACAATAACTCAGAATGATACGATTTGTTGTCAGATCAGTTACTCAATCCAGTCATAGAGTAGTCCTTGAACAATGTAGTTACGAAGCTTTCGCAGCACTATACGGTGGCTCCTTCGGTCAAAAGCTTCGGAGAAGTACAATTAGACTATGTCTAACTTTTACCCCGTATCCATTATTCTTGCCCACTCATCTCGTGCAAGTGGCAAATTTGTGGTGCATGATTGTTTTTGCCGCAATCCATGTAGGTCGTCGAATTACTTTTGTACTGATCCAAGTGTTCCATCAGAGAACCCGTGGCTATTGATTCCGTTATTTTTGACGAAACAGAAAGAAGTGTAACTGGATGACAGTTCGCAGGATTACTTCGACAGCTATGGGTGGAATGATATAGTGTTTCCAGGACTGAGGAATCACCGTCTTTTCGAACACGCTTTGGTATAAATGAGCAATTAGTTCACATCTGTGGTTTGGAAAAGATTTCAGAGTCGGTGAGTGGATGTTGTCTTACCTTGAGGATCAATTCTTACACAACACTAATTGTTTGATTTTACCGTTTGATTTTCCAGTATGAAGTTATTCAACTTGGACTATTGGACATATGGCAGAAATCAGAAGTGAAGCACAAAGTCCCTTCAAAGGAAATAATTTGAGGACATAAAAACGAGATAAAAACATATCTGTGGTCCGCATGTCCAAATAATGTGATTTGTTTTTCCTCACTGTCTTGTTTCCAGCCGGAAACAAATAAGTCTGACTGACATTGTGTAATAAAATATTTTGCCCCACGTCGTAGAAAAGTTTGTGCTTTTTCATTCATGATGACTTAGAATTCAGTGAATTTTCAGCTAAAGCGAAGACGCGATTTACACACGGCAGATGCATGAGGACTATTTTGTCTTAATAACGTTTTTATAAATGACGAATGCTGTGATATAAGCCCCAAGAAATGTGGTATGTTGTTTCATTCGGGTCTCTCCAAATAGGTTGCTTGGGGGTAAAACCGATCTGCCGGAGCTGATTTACTCTCAAAAATGCAAACTAATGTGTCCATCATGTGACATAATAACTATCAAAACTAGCTTCTATATGGCAATCAAATAATAGAAACGTATCACAGGCAATCGTTTTGCAAAATTGGCAACCTCGTGGGATTTCATTGCTTTTACTAAACCCCGTAAAAATTGTTCGACCTCTGTATTCCTTTTTGAATGCTGCAAGATTTGAAAATTCTTGTCTCACCGATTGCTGGTTGTATTTTTGTTTGAAACTAATGTATTGATATTTTAACGCAGATATATCAGAAAATTAAATGTTTATGTAAATTAGCTAATAAGCAAACGTTTGCAGTCATTACAGATTAAAACTTATTGGGGCTTGAATACCCATGGTTCAATTATGTGTCTTGATCAGTAAACGGGGAAACTTCGTTCACTTCAGCACCCAGGCTTTGAGGGAATCACAGTACGGAGAACAGACTTGATATTTCAATAAATTCTTTCGAATAATCAGTCATTTGTGGGACTCAAATTATTTCATCCAGCACAAATATAAAGAACACCGATAGTTGCATATACTGTCTGTTCACAAATTGTAGATTTTAGGGAATTAATGACGATCCTTGGATTCTTTCATTTTCTGTGATCCATCAATAATTAGTTTTGTCAACTTTCTGGAACGCCTATTATGCAAGACATTCCGAACAATGTTACCGGTTGTCACTCACCCGGTTCTTCCAATTTCGGCTGATTAACTCCTCGATCGGACGCTGCNGACGCTGCTCCAGTGGACACATCCATTGCCTCGTATGTGGGACCGGGCGGGGCTGCATTGCCTCTAACATCCAGTTGACTGGACGATCCGGTCAGAAAGCTGTCACTCTCAGTTGACTCCCCTCCGTCATTGTTTTGTGAAGCAATCTATGAACAACGCGAGTATGAAGGGGGGGAAAACGGAGCGGAGAGAATATCGTGGATATGATCAGAAGATGATCAGGGCAAAGTCGGTAAAACGACATTGTTGATTACATCCTTCATAACCACTCATAATACACAATGAGTTCCGCCGTGTACGGAGAAAATGAAGCCTGAACTGCAAACCTATAATGCACTGCACCTCTATTTCAAGTAGGTAGGTTAGGATATTTCCAATCGAGTGATAACCCTAGTGACAAATACTGGGATTCGCAAGGCGCATTGCTCGCCAAGATGGGTTGTGTTACATCGTGTAAGGGGGAAATGAACTGCGGTCTTATTGGCTGACCTGTTGCTCCAATCGGTCATATGCTTGCTTTCTACCTGTGAGGTCCCAGGTTCGATCTCCATTCAGGTATTTGGATTCATACTGCCCATGAGACCCAACCAGGTGAAAACAACTGTTCAGTGCCTCCCAGCTATGCAGTACACGTTTCGCTTGCTCTGTAAACGACTAAATTGAATCAAATCCTCCAATAATCCCATATATATGCCCGTATTGCAAAAAACAGCCCATAGTTTTCGATGTTGCGCATGATTCAGGTGAGCACATTGGCCGACAAATAATAGAGGAAGTGAAATTATAACACAATATTTGAAAAGATGAACCAACTTTAGTTACTCTTTTGCTTTTTCAGTAATATTAAAAAAAAAAGTATGTCACGATCAATTATTCACTGAATGTCCTAATTGCGGCTTTTAATAAATGTTGTCACACTTTCCATAACAAATGTTTTTCTCGGGTATCCATATCGCTTAAGTAACAAAACAAACAGGTTTCCCCGACGCGAAATCCACACGGCTTCAAACCAAAGAAAACCGAACAGGAAACCAATTTATCCTGATCACTCGACGTCCGTAAATGAACAATACCAGCTTATTTACGGACACACGTTTACGCATCCCTTTCGATCGTCGAGTGAATGAGTGAAATTCCTTTGGGGATTTCTTCCAAGGGATCACCGTCTACACCACTTGACATTAGCTCCAGCATTCAGTCATCTTCGTCAGCTTTTCCATTCATTCACTGGANTTCACTGGAGCCATTTGTCAAAACGTCTCTACTGCTCCCACCTCGGCTAAAATCCAGCTCCGTGAGGGACTATGATTGTTATCATGAGACGGTCATCTAACGTCACTCCTAATTCCATCCAACCAGCATCCAACGTTGATTAGGAAACCACACGTAAATGAAAATATCATGTAAACATGGTACAACATAAAAATGCATAGATGGAAAGGAAGTCATTTGAAAATTGTTAGTCGTGGTCATGATCAACGACGAAATTTGCTTATTCTGCCCACACTTAACTAAA